GTGAGAAAAAGAGCTGCGCAACGTGAAAGCATCGACAAATCCCGAGACATGCAGGGATGCTGCAGGATGCACAAGCGGCCCGCACTCATTTCTGACGTAACCACACACGATCACAGGGGCATGTGACACAAAATACGACGTGCCAGGCAGACCCACCGGGAGGAGTGCCCTGCTGCTCCGCAACGGCTAGGGCCACGCGCTTCGCGTAGCCGCCGCCCTCCGGAGGCAGCATTGAGTGTTGACCCGAAACCTGCCTCGTTTAGTACACCTGTGAGCTTCAGCAAGTTGTTAAAGTGGGTTGCCGATGTCTGCCAAACTCAAGTCCAAGCTTGTGCACCGGTTCATTTGACGCATGGACTTGCCTGCATTCAATACTCGCACCTCGAAGGATGGTTCGACTGGTAATGACGGCAGAAGGAGTAGGCAGTGTCACTACATGATACTCATGATGAAAACATGCTGCTGGTGGTGAATATTTACAAAAGCAGTGACATCGCACCTGAAACTATTCGGTAGCAGTTTACGGCACACCAGCATTCTGTGTGAGGAAGATTGTTGAGACAACAAGGGAAACTACAAAGTAACATAGGGGCCATAATGAGGGCCATAATGATTACCTTTACTATTTTGGGGATTCGTTATTATGAATATAATAAAAATATGTACCCCAAATCCCTATTATTCTAACAGTTAAGGCCCCTATAGTAACTCAAATTTTCACCTCGGGTCGCAACTACCCATAGGCTCCATTGCAGCTCCTCTTTGTGGTTTATATTTAGGACCCTATAAGGTATTCCCAAAAAGGAACTACTATGGAGCCTATGGGTAATAGCAAGCCACCCCAACCTTACACCCTAAACCCTGACTCTAAATCCTACATCCTAAGTGCCAGAGGCCATGCCTCCGGTCGTGTTGTCTCTCCCCATCGAAAGCGCCTGAACCACATGAAGACCGAACGGCTCCAGGCCGGTTAGACAGGGTTAGATCGAGTGTTTAGAGTTTAAGCCAGCTTTTGTAAGGTTATTGAAATCTTAAACCCTAAACCCTGTTATTGAAATCCTGAACCCTCAACCCTGTTAGGGAAACCCTGAACCCTGTTATTGATTGCTGATTGCTTAGTCCTTTCCGGGGTATTGCAGGATCTTCCAGGGATCCAGAGGCAAGTCTCGTGGGGTGGTGGGCTGCGATTTGGGGGTTTAGGGTTTAGGGTGTAGGGTTCAGGGTTTAGGGTTTAGGGCTCAGGGTTCAGGGTTTAGGGTTTAGGGCTTAGGGTTCAGGGTTTAGGGTTGAGGGTTTGGTGGTGGGCTGCGGTTTGGGGTAGCGGGCTCTTTGGAGCTTCTTAAGGTAATGCAGGATGTGTATCATCAACAGCATCGCTGTTCATGAATATGCGTATCTCTCCAAATCAGGGTCCCGCTCAGGGTCCATGTTATGAGGATGCCGTACTATTTGTGGGACCTAAAAAGGGACCCTCATTAAAGAACTTACTGTTGTCACGGTTGCCGTCGTGGTGGTCAGGTTGACGTCACTGGCGTAGAGTGATGTCGCGACGGCGGCACGCGACACAGTCGTCTGATATGAATGCCCTGCTGAAGCATCTTTTTGGCTGCAGCCCATGGAGTCGGGGATGAGAAATTGGAACCGACGTGCTGTTCTTCGCTTCTCTGAGGCACCGACAGCGAGCTCACTGCGCCCAACATTCCCAACGTACTTGCATCGCTATGAATATCTACTGCCAGATTCTAATCACTGGCTCTAGACCCCGTAGCCGCAGTCCTCTTGCATGGTATCTGGTGAGACTGACGGTCAGATAACGCGCTTCTTCTTCCTCATCGAGATGCGTCGGTCGCGGTACCTGTTGGCCACTAGCAGCAACCCCAAATCCTAAACTGCCAGGGTAAAACATCGTGCAGTAATTGCTTAAGACTGAAGCATGACTTCCATACTGAAACCCTCATCTCGTTCATGTAGCTCTGGTAGGGTCGACGCCTTAAAAACCCCCGGGGCCCAGACACAATATGTTCTGCACAAGCCTGAGTTTACAGGTGTCTGAAGATCTCAGAGGACGGACCATGAAAGCCGGATGCCGGGGAAGGCTCCGAAAGAAGCCCGGAAGCTTGCTTTAAGGGAAGCTGCTGGTTTTCATGCGGGTCAAGGATCTGTGAAAGAAGGAGAAGGTTCTGGGTTTTGGGCTTGAAAGCTTAGTTTGGTAAACACAGGAGAGCCGCGAACTTATCTGCGCTGGGCATCATCTGAGCTCCTTGCCAATCTGAAACGGGCAACCGTCGCTCCATGACAAGGCCCCAACTCAAACACTGCCGCAGTCTCTGGTCAAGCCCCTGGCGCACCACTTCCAGTGAATCTTGCGAGGTCCGCAGTCGGAAGGGGATGCATTTTCGATCTCAGCATCGCGTGCAGCAACTGTTGTGACCTTCAAGCCTAGGCTCTCTGCAGAGACATCCCCTCCCAGAGACTCCAATATCCCGAAAAGGAATATACCTTAATTCATGTTAAGGATCCTACTATAATTTAAGGAATATTCCTTAATTAAAGGATATTGGAGTCTCTGGGCTGCTTGACGGGGGGGTCGCCATAGATTACACAGAAATGTCAGTAATCGTGAGGATGACAATGACCTGCACGGCCTTGTGTCAAGGTTCTAGGTTCGTTCCACCTGGCCGAACTGAGACATTCGACATCAGAGTCCTATCATTGATACTTGCACCACAATTTCCAGGTGTTGGAGCTATGACTGCTTCGTCGTCAATATCATAAGTGCTCTTGAAATTGATGCTGCCATCGCAATGGCTGCGACGTCAAACTGTCCTTCATCAGTCAGCAACTACTCGGGAACGGTGCTGCACTATTGCTGCTCCTGTCAGGTTCCGTCCATGGTCATGTAATGTAGCGGTCACAGGTGAAGGCATTCCGTTGAACCTTTGAAGGTACCGTTGCAGTCTCCGTCGTTTCGGTTTCGACAGCAGAACGCTCGTGGAGACCGCAGAATAACACCATCATCAGTGGTTCCTCTTATACTCATCAAGGTTACTACTATTATAAAAGTTTCATGCAGGCGTTGCCATCTACCTGTGTAAATAAACTTGTTCTGATGACCGTCATAGCCGAAGAATCTGAGGCCCCTGCAGGCTTCAGGGCATCTTGCTGCTGCCTTCGCATTCGATGCCTGGGTGTCTGCCGAAGATCTTTATGTCGTTTCTGTTCAGGAATTAATCTGGGAGTTTCCGACAATTAGGGTATCCTATTTGGGGGTCCTTATAATAAGGATCCTACTATTTGGGGTACTATATTCGGGTCCCCTATTTTCTGAAACCCCCATCTGGTTTAGGGCAGTTTAGGGTTGAGGGTTTGAGGTTTGGGGCCGAGCGTTCAGCGGACTTCGAAAAAATGAACCTCGACTGGTAGCAGGCGGCCACAACGACAGGGGCAGGGATCGTAGCTGGAGACATGTTTGCTAGACATGCTCTCGTGCCATGTTCAATATACGGAGACTCCTTTGAGGAAACCCTAAACCTTATAAACCCTAGACCCTAAACCCTAAACCCTAAACCTCTTTCAACAGACCAGACTACCGTATCGAGCCGCCAGATGAAGGCTCTGCCAAGGAAGCCGAAGTTCCGAGAAACCTCTCTGGACCTGGTGGGGGTCTTTAGAAGTTGTAGACTAAAGTAGGAGAGGGGGCCACTTCATGCCGGCTCTGACATGTCGTCACCGTGTCAAGCCGGGTCCAGGGTAGAAGTACACAAGACTCCTTCGGAACCCAAGTGTTGACGTATAGAGTCTTCCCTGGTCCTCCGAGTACAAACAAACCCCCAAACCCTAAACCCTGAGTCGCAAGAACCGCCGGTCCTGGATTTCAGACCTCGGGAATCCCGAAGCCCTTCTCAGTGAGTCTTGCGAAGGCCCGAAACCCTAAACCCCACGCCTAAACCCCAAAACCCCTAAAACCTTAAGCCCTAAGCCCTGAACAGCGGGGGCCATGTCGAGGCCGGCACCAGTGTTGGTTGCAGAGGATGGGGTCCGCCGCGACGTCTTCCGGCGAACCTCAGCGAGGGGCTACACGACTTAGTTGGGTCCGTTATTGTTTTTTTAAGGTTTCGGGGTTAATACCTGAACCCTAATTCCTAAACCCTAAACCCAAGGTTTTTTTAGTGTAGGGTTTAGTTTTTGTTTCTCAGGGTTTGGGGTGTAGGATCCGTTTTACAGTCGGCTACAACTCTCCGAAAGTCTCGAGAGATGCCAGGTTGTCGGGCCCCTGGCGTCCTGACTTGAAGATGCTGTAGCAGGGTTTAGGGTTTAGGTTTAGGGTTTAGGGTTTAGGGGCAGATATACGGATCATGTAGGGGCCTTAATGATTAGAATAGGGTTTTGGGGGTTCCTTATTATAGGTATAGTATAGTCTACCCCAAACCCTATTCTAGTTATTAAGGCCCCTATGTTACCCGGTCAAAAGCAAAAAGTACTACACCAGCAATAAAACTATAGATAGTGGTCAGAACTCAAGTTGCTGTATCCAGAAAGATGTCGACCATGGCAGCAGGAAATATTAGCCTAAACCCTAAACCCTAAACCCTGAACCAGGCCGTGCTTTTCTGAAAGCTGAGGCTAGCGCTGATGGCGCCGCCCTCTCTCTGGAGTGGTCCAGGCAGGAACAGCTCCCCGGTGCCTCCCAGGTTCAGAGGGGACTTAAGAAGTAGAATGAAGTAGGGCTTTCAAATGTTGATTTTGGGTATACCAGACGATAGTTTTCTGTGCAGAGATTACTTTTTGCTCTGTGGCAATCGGCGCCAGGCGCCAGTCATCTGGAGCTGCTCCACGATTAGGAAACGGATCGTGAAACCAGGCGGCGCCAACACAGGGCGTGAAGCAATAGTTGGAACTTTGGGGTCAACTTGCTTGCCACAAGGACCGAAAGAACAAGGGGATGATGAACATTGCGTGCATGTGACTTCGCGAAAGTTTTTGATAGACGAAAACAGATTCTACAGGCCAAACTGCTGCATTGCGTCCTTGCCAGTGGCCATCTCTGCAGCGAAGATGCCAAGAACTGAGATCATCGCCATGCGACCGTTGTTAAGCTCCTTCATCCTCATCTCCTCGGTATACATGTTCACACCGAATGGGTCGCCATAGTTGCCCGGCTCCTTCTC